AACTCGTTTTTATTGTTAAGTTGAATTCTGTACATGAAGCCCCTCTCTCTCTTTTCCACCCCAACTTTTGAAGGTGTGCCGCGACATCACCGGGGCGAAATCTGGAAATTCCTAGCAGAGCAATACCACCTAAAACACCCGTTTCCCAGTAAACAGCAGCCAAAGGACACGCCATACAAAGAGCTCTTAAAGCAGCTCACCTCCCACCAGCACGCCATTCTCATCGATCTCGGTAAGCCTGCAGTCGATTTGACATGAAAATGGAAGTTTCACTCACTTGAAAAGTCTGAAGACACTGTCCGAGTTATTTAGTGCTCGGCCTGGAGGTTTAGCAACCAGAATTTGCTGCTGAGACTTTCGATTAACAAAGCCCTGGAGTCATCACAAATGTCTTCTCAGGTCTATAAAGAAACCTCCGTCTGCGCCGGGTGGCTTGTTACCTCTGCTCAGCATGGAGGGTGGCTGGCGTGGAGGCGCCAGTTCTGACCACGGTTCAGTTCAGTGACTCAGATATTGATAGGAGGTTTTGCAGTCAACCCAAGGAACATCCTGGAAACACAGGTGTCAGAGCTGAGGCTGCGTTTAATTACAGGAGCCACTCCCTAGTCTTTACGGTTTACAAACAGGATTTATTAGAAAAATTGGAGAAACGAGCTTGTGAGTGCACCCTGGGTGATTTTATTCTGGGAACGGGGAGGCACCTCGTCTCTCGAGCAGTTTTAAAAACGCTAAGGTGGAAACGGTGTCTTGGGTACCTTTGCAGTTGCCACAGTGGAGAACTTGTGGAGGCAGGCTGTAGCCATGGTGACAGAAGGCCTTCTGTCTTGTCAGCAGCCCCAGGTGGGGACATCCTTTCCTGCCTGCTCCGCCCCAGCGGCCCCCGTCTCTGGCTCTGCTGACAGCAGGGCTCCTGGGCAACCCCGTGGGCTCCCGGCCCTGCCGCTTCTAGGGCACATGGTCCTGCTTCCAGAACATCCACCCTGGCTGCCGCCACCCCGGGGCTCCCCAGTCCGTGTTCTGGGCCCACCGGGTTCCTCCCAGCCGTGTGAGGTGCGAGCCGGATCAGGCAGTACCGAGGCTTTTCTGTCCAGCCACACAGCACTTCGTTAGGGTAGATTTCGTAAATGTCCCTCTTCAGGTCTAAGTTGAAATGTCATCTCTGAGAAGCTGTCCCTGATATAGCCTCTTCTCCCACCTTCGGGTTGGGTTAGGTGCCTCTGCTAAGCCTTGTCCCACCCTCTACACTCCCCTCAGCGTACTTATCACATTTACCATTATGACAATTATCATTAGTGTTTAAAGCTAGTACTTAACTTTACCTTGGACCAAATTTTGGGTGGAGTTACTTAAAATCTTTTCTTTAATCCTCACAACACAATCAGGGAGGTGTTGTTCTATCCTTGTTTGGAGCTGAGAATATTGAAATACAGAGAGGTTAAGTCACTTGTCCAAAGTAACACGGCTGGTGTGCCACTGAACAGTGTGACTCTAGGCCTGTGCTTGTAACCCCCCCCTCCACTGTCCCTTAGTTATGTGGCAGTGCCTTTTTATTGCCTTTCTCCCCAGTAGGATGCAGCCCTCCCTCTGTGGGCTGGACTGGGGCCATTTGCCATTGTACCCTAGCTCCTAGGACAGAACCTGTCACATAGTAGATGCTTACTAAATCTCTTGATGTTGACTGTGAGGCCCCGCAATGGCATCCCAGTCTCACGTGACCCTCACGGCAGCCTTGGAAAACTGGCCCTGTATCCTCTTTAAGAAATGAGAAAAGTCTCTGAAGCGCAGCGAGGTCAGGTGTTGACCGTGGTCGCACAGCTGAGTGCCAGGACCTAAACCCCCTCCGGCTCTGTGCTGCAGTAGGCCCCTCCATCCCTGAGGCCCTCTGCCCAGGAGCCCCATGCGTTCCTAGGAGATGGCTGGCTGGGTGCAGGGTGATGCTGACAGGCCGTGATTGCGCCTTGGGGACAGTGAAAATGTGAGGCCTGGGGCTGGAGCCCATTTGGCCCGCTGACCCTACGGAAGCAGTTTTGTGAATTGGCAGTAGTAGTGTTTGCTCATGTGGTGAGTAACAGAAAAAGTGACACGTTCCTATCATGTGAAATGAAGAAAAAAATAAATTTCGGGTAGGAGGTTGAAAGGGAGGAAGGAGCACACGTGGTCTCTGCCGCCACCCGGGATGGGAGGAGGAGGTGGGGACGATGTTTCCTCCTAACTCCTCTCTTCTCTCAGTTTTCTTTCAGTAAATATTCCTCATTGTTCCACACGCAGGACTGGGCCTCTGCCTCCCGTAGCTCAGATGCAGTTACTCTTCTGCAGAGGGAGGAAAAGGCCACGTCAGCAGCACGATGGGCTCGGGCGGGGCTGTCCCCCGGGGACCTGTGTTTGCGCAGCCACCTTCAGGCACCGCCCTGCCCAGGGGCCAGCGGCTGCCACTCCTCTAGTTGGCCTGGAGTCTGCAAGAGGCGAGATTCGGCCTTTCCTCCTTCCCAGGCGGGGCCAGGCTGCACTCACGTCCTCTCTGTCCCTGCCTGTCTCCCACCCTCACCCTCTGCAACCCCGAAGGCCAGCTGCAGCCCCACGCCACACCCCGGCTGCGCCAGCCTTGTCTCTCCACCTCACTTCTTTCCCAGTCATGGACCCCAGTTCGGTTGCCTTCTCAGTGCCCTCCCAAGGTCCCAAAGAAGCTCTGTTTCCAGCAGTGCGTTTCCCAGGTGACATCTGTGCATCTCTGCAGGCTTCCTCCAGGGCCAGCCTTCCCTCCCCCCTTGAACTGGGAGAGCCGAATATTGGCCCAGGTCCAGCGGTGGACCAGGTGCCCTGCCTGCCAGGCTCTGGCTCTGCTGGGTTCACGGAGGCCTCGCCTAGAAGTTCCTCCAAACTTTGCCCGTTGCTTCCCCCTCACCTCTCACCGAGGTGGTATTTGCCAAGCCAGTTGTTTTGTCTGCACTTTTTAATTTAGTCTACAGTGTGACTCACTCAAGGCCCAGCAGAGGTGTGTAGGGCAGAGCAAAGACAAATCATGTTTCAGTTTTTCTTAAAAAAGTGACATCCGTATCCTGGCCAGAAGAACAGAGTGCTTATTGGTTGGAGGTATTTGGGGTTTGCAAGGATTTTTGTTTTCCTGGCTTTTCCTTTACTTTTCTGAAATTAGCTGTTAATCTAATCAGGTTTGTAATATGTTTTCCTCCAAGGAGTGAGAATAATAGACTTTGTAGTTGGGCAGTGTTTTACAGTTGTGAGCCATATTCTCTAGCTTTGCTGGATTTCAGCTTTACACGGTCCTGTATGAACTTGGACACATTATTTCCACTTCGGAGGTGATGTGGTTTGCCCAAGTTACAGGCCACTACTCAGTGGCAGAAAGTTCTAGAACCTTGCTCTTCTTAGTCTCTGAATATCATGTTCCCTCTAGGACACACTGTATGGCTTTTCTGTGTCTTGGCTTTGTCCACTGCAGACCAACACAGCCTTCCCCTCCTCTGGTTAGGTGGAGAAATGCTGTCAGAGCTGGCCCCATTGAGCCAGGAGGAGACAGTGTACCTGATGACACTTAGCAAGTCATGCTGGGGCCTTAGTTCCGGAACCTGCCCCACCCTCTAGGCGTGGTTCCAGCACATCCATTTGTGCTGCCCTCAGGTAATGGTAACTTTTCTCTTCTCCGGCTCTCCATCCGGGGTGGACAGTCTGTATTGCCCAGTATCCTGCCTTCTGGCTGTGCCTCCCATCTGGTCGTGGCCGCACGAAAGGCCATGGGGGAAGGGACACTGAGCAGGGAGCTAGAGACCCCCTTCGGGCTTCAGGTCACCCTCCACCCTGTCAGCTGCTGCTCTCCTGGGTATCCCGTTGTCAGTGCCTCCCCTGGGACGCTGTCCAGCCTCTCCCACGATAGGCAGGTTGGCCGGGACACTGGAACAGGTCCAGAAATGGAGGGACACCATTGAATCAGAGAGCAGACTTAGAAGCTGCTCCCTATGGCTTTCCAGCAGTGGGTGACTTGTGCATGGGGCGCATAGGAAGGTTTGTTGCGGGGAGAGGTAGAGTAGCGAGAGAGAAATGAACACAGGACAAGAAATCAGGCAAAGACTATTGCTGCCCTCCTAAGTCAAGTTCAGGTAAACTGATCTGGATTGATCCAGTGCTTTCTCACGGGGCTGAGGAAGAACACACAAACGTATCCTCCTCCCTTTGCTGAGAGCACATAATTAAGGTGAATGTTCCCCTCGTGGCCTCCATGCACTTCTGCCTCTGCTGATCCAGACAAGGCCATACTTCTCACCTGGGTCCAGGCGTGGCCCCGGCTGAGCACCTCTTTAATCAGGCATTTTTCTGCTCCCTAGAAACACACTTCCCCATCAGTCACATTCCAGAAGGAGAGGGGGAGGTGGGATTTGACAGGTATCCACCACACACGCCTCCTGGACAGAAGAAGTCTTTTTTTAAACTTTGTCTGAGTACCAGCTTTTTGTGAAAATCGCGATGTCGAGAGCGTTTTATTTTAACCTCTTGCTGAGAGGTCATTGTTTTGTATAAAAGAAAACACCTACTGCTCCCCACTGTGTTTCAAAGCACTGCCTATGGTTTAAAAGAAGAGAAATGTGCGTGTGGTGTGAAGCACCTGCAGGGAAACGAGCAGTCTGGGCAGAGCTGATCGGGGCGTGTGCTGGAGTGGGGTTGGGTAGAGAACCACAGCTGACCGCTCCTCTGGACACTAGACTCCTGTTTAGAGGATAGGCACTCTTCTTCCTGTTTTAGATGGAAGTCCAGGTATCTGCAGGCCCGAAGGCGGTTAGGTGGTATTTTCACCTGAAAGCATGATTAATTGCTGAGTTTTTAATTGCAAGCATTATTCCAAGGACAACCAGCTGACCTTGTTTATAGAGCTGATTGATGATGTGATCCCACTTGGAAAGATCTGTCGCTTTAACCTAAAGCACATCAGATTTCTGGTTCAGTAGGCTTTCTTTTTTTCAAAATACAACAAATGTGTTTTGTTTTCACAGGGCGAACCTTTCCAACACATCCATACTTCTCTGCTCAGCTAGGAGCGGGGCAGCTGTCACTTTACAACATTTTGAAGGCCTACTCGCTTCTAGACCAGGAAGTAGGCTATTGCCAAGGTCTCAGCTTTGTAGCAGGCATTCTGCTGCTTCATATGGGCGAAGAAGAGGCATTCAACATGCTCAAGTTTCTGATGTTTGACATGGGTCTGCGGAAACAGTATCGGCCAGACATGATTATTTTACAGGTAGAGAGCGTTCCTTAAGTCTTTGATAAAGATGAACTCTAAAATGTTTATGATCCCTTTCCAGGTATATCTCAGGAACCGTCCCACCATCAGTTAACACTGTAACATCTGTCACTGCTGAGAACTTACTCTGTGCTAGGCCTTACACCAAATGTTGCATGTGCACTTACCTCCTCAAACTTCAGGAAGACATTGTTGATCAGCTCAATTTAGAGATGGGAAAGCTAAGGCTCAGAGAGGTTATGTAATTTGAGCAGGTCACACAGCTAGCAGGTGGCAGAGCTGGGATTTAAACCTAGGCCTGTCTGACTCCGGAGCGCCCTCCCTTTTACCCTTTGTCAAACCACCTTCAGGTGGTCTGATTCCTACCTCCCAGTGTATTTGCTCCTTCCTCTGCCGGGGATCCCATCCCTACCCCTCGACCCCTGCCATCCCATGTCCAGCTCAGATATCACCTGTTCATGCAGGTGCCGTGTCCCCCCCTCTTCCACCCACCCTGGCTCGCTGTGTCACGTGATCCTGTCTCATTCCTTTTGCATAACACACTTACTGCCTGAAATTATCTTGTTTCCTTATTTATTTACTTGTTTATTTTCTGGCTCTCCTTAGCGTATATCATGAGAGGGCAGGGGTCTTACCTGTCTTGGGGCTGAGTCCCTAGTTCCTAGGCTAGTGCCTGGGATGAAGTGGGTACCTCGTCCGTATTTGTTGAATGAATGAGTGACAGGTGGCAGGTCATGTCAGAAGAAAACCCCGTACAACAGTGTGTTCCATTGCTGCTACCACCGCCTTTCAGAGGTGGGGAGAACTCTGGATCCTGCTTTGAGGATATTCCTAAATGTTGGAATATGTGTTTACGTGTTTGTTTACCAGCAAGATACTCTGATTTCAGAGCCTTAGAAAGTGTACGTTAGAGCCAAGGACTCTTCCAGAGCATTGAACAACATGGCTAGAAATCCTTTCACCTCCACCTGTGTGTGTGGACCGCGTGAACATAAATCCCATAGAAGGAAGCCATCCCGTTCACTAGGAGATTTGGGCCTACATAACACGTGCCACACATGCTGTCAGGTTCTTCCTACATAACCCCGTTAGCGTATTTAATGTAGGTGCGCCTGCCATCGAAGAGAGTGGAATTTTTCAGATTTGTATAGTATAGTATACAGCAGTATATACTGATACAGTATATTACACAAGTCGTGTGTAGTATAGTATACACACGGCTGTGTTTGGGCTGGTGGCCTAGAGATTAGATTTCTTTTTGATACGAAAGAGCCACAGCTGGTACCTGAGAGAACTATGTTGTCTGGCCTCCCGGAAACAGTTTTTCCGTTATGGGCAGTACATATCCGGCTGTAGCGCCCTCTCCAGGTCACTGTTCCTCTGGGGTCGGGCCAGGGACTGCTCAGTCGGGGCTGGCTCTAGGCCAGCTGTGAGCCCCGGGACCCTCATGGGCTTCCTGCCAGGGCCGCATCACTCTGAGGGAGCCCCCTGAGCTCACGTCCAGCCCAGTTGGAAAAGGTTTCTCCATCTCGAGATAAACGCTTGTCAGCTTATTTTAACTTTCCTGTGTTGTAAACCTGAAGAAGTCACACTTGTCCTGCCTCTTGAGTGGTTTGGGGGGCGTTCACCGGGAACTTAAGGAACAGATACAGTAGCATCCTTCTGCAGAATCTGTGCTCTCACTTCGCTGTTGGCGAGAGGCTGCCTTTTTACTTCAGATTCCCCTGGCTTTGGGTTTTGCTAAGAATGTGCGTTTACGAAATGCTGCCTCAGGATAGATGCGTAGCTTCTCCCAGCCAAGGAGTGCGAGGGAACAGTAAGAAGAAAGGCCGTGGCCGGAGGAGCCCCGCCGTGAGCGCCACGGGCCCAGCCCAGCCCCTTCCTGGCCACAGCAGCCCGAGCGAGCACTCGCTGGATGACGGAGGGCGAGAGCAGGGGCGTCTCAGGAGCCATGAAGAGAGTTCCGTGGTCCTTCCGCCTCCGAGTGGGGTGGATGCTGATCTCCCACGGTGACTCTGTGTGCGTGTCCCTGCAGATCCAGATGTACCAGCTCTCGAGGCTGCTCCACGACTACCACCGAGACCTGTACAATCACCTGGAGGAGCACGAGATCGGCCCCAGCCTCTACGCCGCGCCCTGGTTCCTCACAGTGTTCGCCTCGCAGTTCCCCCTGGGGTTCGTAGCCAGAGTCTTTGGTGAGTGTGTGTGAGTCTGTTCGCCAGGACCCGCGTCCTCGAGTTAGAGGGGAACCGTGTGTCGTCGCTCCGTGGTGACTCTTCTCATTTTTATACCTGGGTCTTCTGCAGAAAACAGGGTGGTATTTGTCATTCTCAGTTTAGTGAGTGAGGATCAGGCTTCGGGAGTTTCAGGACCTGCTTAACTTCTGATGGTCAGGGCCTCCCCTCGATGCCTTCTTGTGGGCTTAGATCCGCTTCCCTCCCCCAGGCTCCCCCTGGAGCAGACTTGCTGCCGGCTGAGCCGAGGAGCCTGGCGCGGGGCCCAGAGATGTTTCTCCCGAGCCGTCTCCCTCGACCTCCGTGGCCCAGGCCTTGCTCGCTGAGCTCCCTAAGACTTCTCCCCCGGGAGTCCCGGGCCACTGCTCTTTCTGGGTCTCGCCTGCATCTTCTCCTCTCGCCCTGCTTCCCCTACCTGTGGCTCTTCGCTTCCTCTGCCGGCGTGCTCTCAAAGGCACCTCTGTGTCGCCGACCCACGGTCCGTCCTCACGAGCCCCCCGCGTCATCTTCCCACTGCTGTGCCCCCGTAACTGAGGGTGGGTCACATTTCAAACCATCTCCCGTTTACTTGATTTACTTTTCGAGAAGATTGTCTCTGTCAGAGTTTTAAATGAATGTTCACGTGCAAAGTCTCAAAACTGCCTTGTCAATTAGACTTCAATTTTAAAAACTAAAAATTAAAGAAGTGTAAAAGGCTGCCTTGACCTGGCAGGGATAGGAGCCGAGTGACATGCTGTGAGCAGTCAGCTCTTGTACAGTGTGCTTCCCCTGCTTCGGGATGAACTAATAATTCTGACAATTCAGGTTCTTTTTATCTTTTTACTGTGGAGGAAGAGGTTATTAAAAAATTGATTGTCATCACATACCAAGTGGTTTTAAAGTACCATTTATGTTGAGTCACTTGATAGCTTAAAAACCTGTATTCTTATACTTCTTTAGATTCGTTTTTAGAATTAGAGACCATCTTAAAGGGATTGTTCACAAAAGAGAGAGTCGCTTTAGACAGCTTTGGGCAGACCACTTGTATATCTAGATTCTAGAAATCCTAAAATTTGCTTTTTTTAAAAAAATAAATTTATTCTAGGCTGCATTGGGTCTTTGCTGCTGTGCGCGGGCTTTCTCTAGCTGTGGTGAGCGGGGGTTACTCTTTGTTGTGGTGCGCGGGCTTCTCACTGCGGTGGCTTCTCTTGTTGCGGAGCACAGGGTCTAGGCGCGTGGGCTTCAGTAGTTGTGGCGTGCAGGCTCTAGAGCGCAGGCTCAGCAGTTGTGGTGCACGGGCTTAGTTGCTCCGTGGCATGTGGGATCTTCCCGGACCAGGGCCCGAACCCATGTCCCCTGCATCAGCAGGTGGATTCTCAACCACTACGCCACCTAGGAAGCCCGCCTAAAATTTGCTATTTAAGTGGGCAGTGAGTCGTCTTCTCTCCTCCTCTTCCCCCCACACCAAAGTACTAGATTTTTATTATCATTTACTTCTGTCCACAAGAACTTTTAAGGAATTTACCATTTGGCTTTACTAGGAGAATCTAGGTTCTTAAAATATTTACTACTCTCCCCATTTTTGCATAGCTACCTCCCCAAATTGATTTTTTTTTTTTTTTTTTTGCGATACGCGGGCCTCTCACTGTTGTGGCCTCTCCTGTTGCGGAGCACAGGCTCCAGACGCGCAGGCTCAGCGGCCATGGCTCATGGGTCCAGCCGCTCCGCGGCGTGTGGGATCTTCCCAGAGCGGGTCACGAACCCGCGTCCCCTGCATCGGCAGGCGGGCTCTCAACCACTGCGCCACCAGGGAAGCCCCCCAAATTGATTTTTATTTTCCGTCCCTAAAAAAAAGAAAATAAGCACTGAAAATAATTGATACTAAACACTCTTTCCCTGGTTAAACAAATCATTAGTGAGATTCATGAAGGTTTTATACCATAGTTTTTTTAAAAAGTCCTCAAAATTACCTGCTTAGTTTACCAAAAAAGAGTCACAGAAACTACAAGATGTTTAGCTGTAGGCTTCAGTCTTTCTTGCCAAACATTTCTGTGTTTCTTACTTTTCTTACTCTGGAAATGAAAAGAAAATCATTAGTCTGCCTCACTTTTTCTCCTGATTCTTTACTGTGTTTTTTTCGAAAGGGTAATGGAGAGCAGTGAAGATTGAAAGGGGGGAGGAGGGAGTGTTATTAGATGGTTTGAAAACAGCTCAAGCATTGAATTACACTGTTTGTGAAGAAAACTCTACAGAGGGGGCTGAGCAGGAAGGGCCGAAGGGTCAGCGCCGAGTGTCACTGCCCCGGCCGCAGGCACGGAAGCTGCTGCTGCCCAGAGTTCTGGGCTCTAGGGCCGTAAAGCTCTGGGGGAAGAGCTCTTTCCTCACTGCAGAAGTGGGTAAGAGGCATTAACAGCAATCAGACAGACAAAATCTGCTTTGGAAATGATAGCGCTTGTGTTGCAGAATATTCAGAACTCTCTGAAGCTCATCCTCATGACGTCGTAAGTAAAGCTGAAGCCAGTGAAAGCAGGGTCTTCTTCTCGATATTATGTAGTCAGAGGTGGGTCTCGATATTATGTAGTCAGAGGTGGGGGTTTCTTGTACATTATGCATAACGATGCCAGTCTCTGTGAGTCCTGGAGCCCACAGACCCCCGCTGCACTGGGTGGGTTCGTGTCTAGCTGGCTAAGGGCTCAGGGCTCCTGAGATTATAGGCAGGAAGTGGGGACTCAAGACAGCACTGTGTTGTGAGGTCATTCCATCTATCAGTAGTTAAAAGTGAACCATTTTATTGGTAAGGTCCATAGAAAAGATAGGTTTTTTTAAAAACCATTTCTGTATTTAGCATCGGTGACTTAGCTCCGCATTGGTGGGTAGCTTCGTTTTAAATCCCAAAGCCTGCCGTTCATACATATACTGTAGGCTTTTTTGGCCTGGGGTCCATTTCATTACAGGCCCTTAGGCCTGGATCAAACCTAAAAACAGGTGGACTTCTGTTAACTATTCACTATTTTATATGTAAGTAACGCAGTCAGTATAGCTCATATATAGATTAATAGCTTACCTCGAACTAAGTATACGCTACTTGGAGGACAGCTGCCAGTGATGCCCGTGCCTCGACCTTTACATGGTAATTAACCACCCTCTTCTGGATGTCAGGTGTCACATAGTGTAAAATCGCCGCCTCCTGTAGTTTTCCGGTCTGGGTGTAGAGGGGTCCTGGGAGAGATGCTTGTTCTGTTCACCTCCTGATGTCTGCCTTTGGGGGAAGAAAGTCTGAAAAATAGGACCTGCCTTGCTCCTGCTGGAGGTGGTGGCTGTGCTGTTATTAGGCTCCTGACGTTTTCTATAGGAGGTGCTGCCAAGTAGCTGAGAGAGGAGGTAGAATCTAAAGATCAGGGTTTGGCCAAACACAGAAGCCACCTGTAATGTGGGGAGGGGTTCCGAGAGGCTTCAGGACTAAACTGGCCTGGGGAAACAAGACTGTTTGGGTGGCCAGGGAAAAGGGCTCTTCCGGGTAACGCGATACAGCGGTAATGAAGTGAGTCTTTGCCCAGTCTGCGCTGTCATCCTACCACAAGGCTGTCAGCATCCTTCATCTCTCTCCTGCCTGTTCCTGGTGAAATGTGGGGATATCACAGCTGGAGGACCGCAGCCTCCCAGAGAAAGTTCAGGAGAGGGCTGGCCCGCCACAGAGACAAATGTAGCTGGAAAAGGGATGTAGGCTAAGTTCACCTCCTGGCCGTGTGCTTTGCCTTGGTCATTTCCCCCCATAGGAAAATGGGGCACTTCTAATGTCGTGGGGAGTTTCAGGTAGAGTTCCCATACACGTTACCATGATAGCAGGGTTGCCGAAGTGTCTTCAAAGCAAAGTAGTTATTTGGGGCGTTCTCAGCAAACAATTTGCAAAGTGGTGGAGTCAGCTGAATTTAAGGTTCCCTCTACTGGCTGCCTGATGAACCCCTTTGCCTGTTTCTAGGTGGGCTTAAAAAAGGAGAGAAGGAAAGTCGGCCACAGCATTGTGAGCTGGGCTCCTGCCGCGCTGCTGAAAGACTTAGCAGCTCACTTCCTTGTGCAGTGATTTTCAAATGAGGGAAGTCAACTCACTTTTCCAAGGAGACTATTGTTTAAAATAAATTTTTTTAATTCTAGTATGTAAATGTATAGGGATTGGGAAATGGGCAAAAAAGACAGTAATTGGGTTGGGGCAGTGGGTTTATAGGTAACCTTTTTCTTTACTATTATTTAAAAATTACTTAATTTTTAAAACTTGCAGAGGGAGAAAAAGGTGTGCTAATTGTCTCTGAGGGATACAGATGCTGCCCCTAAGTGTAGTCAGATAAATGTAGGAGCCCCTTCTTCTCAGCAAAGCTTTGAGGGGTCCTTCCTTCAATCCTTCAGACACATTCCTCAATCATGTCCCGAAAGGCAGTCCTTATTTGAAGCCTCCTTAGTCTAACAGAAGCTTCTGGGGCTGAGCTCTCCCAGCCTCACTCGTGCAGACCACTGGCCGGCTTGTCGTCAGAAGGATGGGCACCTGGGGCGGGCCTCCAGGAGTGCTGGTGAGTCAGGCATCTTGCCGCTGGCAGCATTCACAGGAGCGTCTGCTGCTGGGAATCAGCATGGTCTTGTCAGTGGCTCTTAAAAGGTGGCTTTTCTCCATCTAAAGTTAACTAGCCCTTCCTTGCAAGGCTCAGACCCATAACCGGGGTCTCACTGGCATCATCTCCCAACCAAGGAATACGCTGACCTACTCAGGAACGAGGAAGAGAAGGCCTTCTGTGCCCCTGGTGTGTGCTCGCTGGTAAAGGTAGAATGGCCTGGTCCCATGACCGGGGCTCCTGCCTTACCTACTCTTGCGGGCTCCTGCACACGCTGTGTGCTTTCACACCTCTGCATTTCCACCTTCTTTTTCCTTCTGCGCAGAGTATTACTCCCTGACTTCTTGACTGGGGAGTTTCTGTTGGTTCTTTAAGGCTGCGTTCGGCAGCCACCTTTCCTTGGGGCATTTTCTTCCCTTTTGTATTCTGTTTTGTTTTGGTTTTAAGATAACCAAAAAAGAGTTAAAGAAAAAAACCACCTCTCCAGGTTTCCCTTTGTTTTCTTCCTACAGTTTGGAAAAGTTCAGAATCACAGGAAGCACTCTACTAGTCAGTGGATTTGTTATAAAAACCAAGATCCTAAAGGAAGAAAACTTGGAAGACCGTTGTTAATCTTAAGACTGCTGATGTGGATTGTGTATTAGATTGTGCTCATAAAAGTTCCCCAGTTGTTATTTATTTTAGCTGGCTTAGCTGTGGGACTATATCTAAATTTAAGGTACTTGCCCCAGAGACTGAAGATTCTGAGCTATATAGCACGTCATGGGTCTGGTAGTGCAGTCCACTCCCCAGGATCCCTGCAAAGAGTGCCTTGACATTGATTCTGATAGATGCCATCAGTTTTTATTCAGCTATAAATGTTCATATATTGAAAGGAAGTCTTATTGTCTAAACCAAAGAAACTTCAAATTTACTTTGTTTTTGGAAATGTCATTTCTGTTTAAAAATATGTCTTAGTTATAGCGCAATCTTATTTTATTTTATTTGAAAATATTTTTTTTTTGCCTGCGTTGGGTCTTCATTGCTGCGCAAGGGCTTTTCTCTAGTTGCGGAGAGTGGGGGCTACTCTTCGTTGCGGTGCACGGACTTCTCACTGCGGTGCCTTCTCTTGTTGTGGAGCACGGGCTCTAGGCGCGCGGGCATCAGTAGTTGTGGCTTGTGGGCTCTAGAGCGCAGGCTCAGTAGCTGTGGCACACGGGCTTAGTTGCTCTGTGGCATGTGGGATCTTCCCGGACCAGGGCTCGAACCCGTGTCGCCTGCATTGGCAGGCGGATTCTTAACCACTGCACCACCAGGGAAGCCCCTGTAGCGCAATTTTAGATCTTTATGTTTTCTGTAGTGGTGAATTGCATGGGTAGACTGCATATTTTTTAAATCAGACATTTCACAGGACTATTCTTCCATAGCACTGCCTCGATACATGTACTCCTCCCCCTAAGAAGTTCAGATTTCAAAGATGTGATCTGTTCTCCAGTTTATCTTACCAGCCCCTACAGAGGAGGCAGCATCTGTCCTTTTCAGTTGCGTGGAGCTGCCCTGAACCAGGAGCAGTGTGAAGTTGAGGGAGCAGTGTGGCCCTGGGCTCTCTGGGGGCAGCTGCCTGCAGGGCTGCACCCAGCCGGGTGCCAGGTCTGCTCACGTGATGGTCTCGCAGCATCTCCGGGGCTGACCCAGCCAGCCGGTGCTTGGATGTCTCCCTTATGCCATCCACAAACCACCCTGGGACACGTCCAGCCTGAGCTCAGTGGCTTGTTTCTTAATGGCTTTCACTTCTCATCCCCCTAAACCACCCAGAGAGGCACAGGCTGGGAATTCTCCCTCTCACCTGCTTCTGTCCTCCTTGACCTGATGGAAAGTACAGCTTCTTTGTCCCTTCCATTCTCCTGCAGCACCCCCAGAAAAAAAAAGAGAATATTGACAGTTGCCTCTAATTAGATTTACGCTCCCATCTTTTAAAATTACATTTCTTCTTACATTATTATTCCAGTTGTTAGGTAACTTTCCCAAATTTAGTCACCCAACATTTAGTTATTAGGGCTGTGCTTGAGCCCCAGGACATTGGAGTCTCTTTCTGAATGGCTTCAACTCTGGGGAAGGTGGAGCCAGGGCTGGGCTGGGCCGGGCCGGGCCGGGCCGGGCCGGGCTGGGCCGGGCTGGGCTGGGCTGGGCTGGGCTGGGGGCCCACTTGCCCTCCCTCTCCCTGTGCACCGTAGGTGTGGGGATTGTTAACATTCACCAACCATTCTAAGGGAAAAAATGGCAAGAACTAGAAAATAACCCTGATAGAGTTCTTTGAATTCTTCAGAGGGAAAAAATTTTTTATTCCATTATTATGCTAAAATTCAGTATACTTGTTAAGTGTTTAATAATGTACTTTTGCAATGGTGCAGGCTTTTTACAGTTTTTAGAGATCTTTTAATTCAACCCCTTATTTCAAAGCAGAGGAAACAGAGGCATTTTCTTCACTTACAACAGCAGAAATTAGGATAGACTATTTATACACATCTTTGTTTTACTCATAAAAATATATGTTTTAGTAATAACTCCTTTGAAATCCAGAGAATTCCTGAAAATGTAGACTAATGAAAAGTTTTCTTTTTCACAGTTTCAACTTTGGAGGTATGTTTGAATTTAATATATTTTTGGAGTGAAAAACAGATTTATCTGAACCTGTAATTAGCAGTAATATACTAAATTAGCAGTAATTTAGTATATATAATATATGTATATTTACATATATATTTACATATTTACTTGTTATTTGCTATATTGTCTTGACAGCCCTGTCTGAAATACCAGGATCTTATAATTTGGGGTTGCATTTCCCACAGTCCTGCTCTTCGATGTGTGTGAAGGGGAATGGAGTGCCATTTCATCAGAATCTGGTCCGGCTTAACTTTCTGCTTTTCTGTGTTTTCCCAGATATGATCTTTCTTCAGGGATCAGAGGTCATATTTAAAGTGGCTTTAAGTCTGTTGGGAAGCCATAAGCCCTTGATTCTGCAACATGAAAACCTAGAAACTATAGTTGACTTTATAAAAAGCATGCTACCCAACCTGGGCTTGGTGCAGATGGAAAAGACCATCAGTCAGGTATGGTTCAGTCCGGACCTTCCAAATGTGCCAGCGATTCTGGATATGCAGAAGCTGAATTTCCTTTTTTTTTTTTTTTTTGAGAAGGAGCTGTTTCCTACCACTTTGTGTCCTGAGCAGCAATGCTCAGCTCGTGGGAGGCACATCTCGAATGCCTGTTCCGTGATCAGATGTGTGTCTGTATGTGCTGAGAGTGTGTAGGTGTGATAACCAGCACAAACTATCGGTAGTTTCTTACAATTAAAAGGCGTTTGTCACCCTTCGGCGTTTGTTCTTCTGAAATACATACATTTTTATTCAACGTAGGCTTTTGTAAAATGAGTGCTTTGATTTTTGTGCTGAAATGGCATTAACTGGAATTTTCTAAAAATTTAACTTGTTGCTATGAAGTTGTGATAAAGAGTGTATATTCTGTAACTTTGTTCTGGAGAGCGTGTGTGTGTGTGTTTTATAGAGTTCAGTCCCGCATTCATCTGTGGTTCTAGTCCCTCTGATTTCTGTATGCAGTAGAACTGCACTGCATGTATCACCCTCTCAAATGTTAGGGGTTGAGGGTGAGGTGATCCTGGAATTGCAGCTCGACCAGTTGTTAGTGGCCTGGCTTAGGAGTGGGAGCAGATTTTGACTCTGTATCAGGAAGAATTTTCCAGTAATGATTGCTGACGATGCAGGACTCAGCTGCCTGGCGGGGGGTGAGGTCACCCTTGGAAGTGTCTGGAGGCTGGATGGCGAGTGCTGCAGCAGGTGCCCAATGCAGAGATCCCACAGACTCAGCAGTCGGGGCCTCTCATTAGCCTAGAACTTACCTCACCTGCGAATGTAATGAAAACATAGAGCAATTGGGTAAAAGCAAATAGTGAAATAAAGCCGTGATTTTTTTTTTTTTGCGGTACGCGGGCCTCTCACCGTTGTGGCCTTTCCCGTTGCGGAGCACAGGCTCCGGACGCGCAGGCTCAGCCGCCATGGCTCACGGGCCCAGCCGCTCCGCGGCATGTGGGATCTTCCCGGACCGGGGCACGAACCCTTGTCCCCTGCCTCGGCAGGCAGACTCTCAACCACTGCGCCACCAGGGAAGCCCAAAGCCGTGTTTTAAAAAATCCTTCTTCTGAGGGTTTCTGGTAGTCTGAGGGTGGTGGGTTGCACCCAGTTGCAGCAGTTTGTGGTTCATTTGCTGCGCCTCCTTAGGTGCTGAGCCCAGAAAAGGAGGCAAGTCTGGGCTGGAAGAGGGAGACGGTTTTGCCTGGGTGCCGCTTTGGGTCTCTGCACATTTCATTTGCCTACGTGAAGGAGCAGCTCTTTTCGTCTCTGCACTTCCTTCTTCAGTTAATTGAGAGGCTTTTACTTCCCTGGCGCCTTCCTCTCAGTGTGAACAGCTCTGGCTTGTTGACGCCCTGCTTTTTGCCAGGTTCTTTGTGACTCTGCATATGCACACATGGTTTCATTCAGTCATGACTGAATTCCTGAGAGGACAAGTGGTTTTAACCCACGAGCAACCTGGGGTTCAAAGTGGTTGATTAGCTGGCCCACAGTCATGCTACCGAGAAGTGGGAAAGTAGGGTTTCAGACTCAGGCCCTCTCACTTCAAACGCTTTCGCAGCTACTCAGCTCCACCAAGTGCCTGTGGGTGTCGTTTAATCAGAGGTTTTCTGTACTGTACCTGTGTATTAAGACTGAATTCTCCACCCTTTGATTCTTTACTTTCTGACATTTCCACGCATTTCCTCCCTTTTAGAGCTTTCATTGCACATACCTATGTTTTCTGGCTGCAGGGGAGAATGCAAGAGCCTTGGTTCCCTAAAGCCAAGTCTGTGCCCGTGAGCGCCCTGACCTGCCGCCTGGGGCCTGGCTAGAAGGCAGGCAGCCTCACCCATGTGGTTACCCTCTGGGTATGGAGCCCCAGAAAAAAAAAGACCCCTTTTCCTCCCCTCGTCTGTGCAGGATACCTACTGAGGGTGTGAAGGTGCTCTTTAATGTTGGGAGGATAGAAATGGACACAGTGTGGAGAGAGGACAGTTGTGTGTGTGCCTCAGTTGTTTGAGGCATCCGTTTTGAACTTGGCATGCTTTATTCCATTGGCTCCTTAACAACTCTGGGGCCCGGAGGGAGTAAACGCCCAGCACCCTGTACGAGGTGGCAGAGCCCAGAGTGTAACGTGCTCTGGGGCACCAGAGCCCATCCTGTGTAGAAAAGGAGCGTGTAACCAGTAACTGCAAGAGTGGTGGGAGCTCCAGTGGTGCTGTGCAGGGGCTGCAGGAGCGGGCTGTGCAGGGAGTGAGCAGTGAGTGGGGATTGGGGACCGGGGAGCTGAGGGAGTTGAGTTCAGCTGGGCCTTTTCTGCAGAGGGCCAGGGAGGAAGTGTTTCAGGCTTTGTGGACGTAAAGTCACGTGAGGTCAGCTCAGCCTCTGCAGCATGAAGGCCACCAGAGCCAGTATTTGTCAGAATGAAGCGGCTGTGTTGCAGTAAAGCTTTATTTGCAAAGCATGTGGCGGGACAGCCTTGGTCCACAGGCTGTAGTCAGCTAACCCCCCATTATAGTACATGCAAAGGCACGGGAGCAAGAGAGAAGTTCTAGGTGCCGGTTCAGCTTTCCCCGGGGTGGGGGGGCGGGAGGTGCGGGAATTGGAAGTAGGGACACAGCATCTGAATCTGAGGTCCAGTTTTTCAGCCTGCCGCCACAGGTCTCACTGGGAAACAAGACTCAATGCCAGGCAGCTCTCCGCCCTCCTTCCCTCCAATGTGTTCCATCTGGAACTTGACCTCTGCAGGCTGTCAAGCTTTCTGCCTGCTCGCTGCCCCCTCCCATCCCCTCCCTGCAGAGGGTGCTCTAGTCTCAAGTTCTACTCAGAGCAGGGAGGCCTGAGGGGCAGCGTGATTTCTCTGCAGCCTTGGAGAGCCCACAGGGTGGAAGTGACATTGCGTTCTTTGCGTGCTGCTGTCCTGTGTGTGGAAGGATGGAGCTGGGCTGGATCTCTGTGATAGCCAGGCTCCATTTCATTAAATACCGTCTCCGTGGAAGCCTCAGCTCGAGCCGCTGGGACACAGTCTGCATCCAGGGTAGGGAGAGTCCCCAAGGACAGGGCCCTGGAGCTCCCGCTCAGCGCAGCCAGGCTGGGAGCCGCCACCGAGGGGCAGGCCCAGAGTTGACAGAGTCCAGGGCGTGGAGACAAGGGTCTCTGAGGCTCTGTGGTAGCTCCTCAGCGTGACTTAACTGTCAGTTGAACGTGAGCCATAAAAATCGCCTCACAAGAAGGGGGAAGCCCTGGGAATAAACAGAAAGGAAGAGGAGGGAGGCCAGGGGTGTCATCTCATCACAGCGAGTGCCGTGTGCCTGTGCAGCCTCAGGTCAGTGTAAGGAGAGAGCAGGTGAAGGGAGGCTTTGGAGGACGGGGCAAATAGCCTATTTCCAGCATCCTTTGGGCCCTGCTCCAAGTGCGGTCCCAGACCAGCACCATCACATAGGAACTTACGCAAAATCTGGGCCCCCCACTCCAGACCCGCTGAGTCAGAATCTGCATTTCAGCAAGATGCCCAGGAGATATGTGCGCGCGCGCGCACACACACGCACGCACGCACGCACGCACGCACGTTGGAAAGCTCTGCTGTGGGCGACTTCATTGTAAGCACACCAGACAAGTCTGTGTTCTAGTTGAGCTTGTAGGAGAGAAACCAGAATCTTAACAACGTTCCTTTGTTCAAAAGATGCTCTTCAGAACCACAGTGGTGAGACTGCCCCTTCTGCCTTGGGAGGAGCCCTTACTGCTTGAGCAGCTTGCACTATTGAAAATGAGTTTTTTAAAAGGCCAGTCAGTGCCGTACCAAGAGGGTGGGGTACGGCAGGGAGGAGTACTTTACTACTGACATTGTTTAGAATTGCTTGCATGTGGTGATAATAAAAAGCAGACCAACTTTTAGTTGGGTTTATTTTTGTTTTTAAATTCACCACAGACACTGCACCCCCTTAGTTTTGATACCCAGGCAGAGGCTCCCCCATCCAGCTCTTGGTATGCCACTGAGACCACCAGGCTGGGGGGACGGGTCTGGGGGTGGGGAGGGTGGAAAGTATGTGACTAGTTCTGCAGCCATCAGGGTTGATGGCTTCATTACAGAGTGTCCACAGACAGCAAAGAGAAACACAAGTCTCCAAGAGCAGGCGCGCCAAGAACAGAAACGAATTCTCTAAAGGAGGAGACTCGTCTAGCAAGCAGATATCTGGGAAAATATTTAGCTTCGTACATAATTTAAATTTAAATAAAATATAATGCTTTACCTTCCTAGAATAACAAAATGAAACATTTTAATCCCAATGCCCAGTGCCAAGGGTATACTGTATCAGGCACATTCTTACGTTGCTAATGGCATTGTATGTGGATTATTCCCGTTTGGGAAGCAATTTGGCAATATGTATCACGAGCCAGTAAAATATTTGTACCCTTTGACTCAGTAATCCCATTTCTTGGAATGTATGCTTAGGAAATAATCCAAAATATGGGAAAAGCCGTACATATGAGGATGTTTAAAGTTGTTTATAACAAAAACTTACAAGTAACTGGATATCCAGCATTTGATGACCGGATTAACATGGTTATTGATACGTCGAGTTGGTAGAATACCACGAAGCCATGTATAATTATGGTTATGAAGAATATACAGCAACGTGAGAAAGCGTCATTTGAGGACCGGGGCGCTCCTGTCACCGCCAGCCATATGCTGCCATGGTCGGGAATAAATTCCCAGGCACGACTGCAAGGGCTGTGTGTGTGTTTTGGCAGCCAGGAGGGTAATGATGCAGTTAAGCAGAGATGATTGTGACCCAGGATGGTTCCTGGGGATTAACGTAGGCCTCCGCGAGCACTCCGCTCTGTGCACGGTTGAGAGCCATTAACCATACCGCTCATCAATCTGGATCAAAGGCCAGAGGTTTTGTCCCCAGGTTTTCCAGGTTAGGAGCTCATTTAAAAACCTCTGTGGAAGAAAAAATGTGTGTGACATTTATCCCGCACTGTGTTTATAATTACACACTAATGCCACAGCAATCTCGGTTTTAATGTCTGTGGTCTTTCCTCTGAGCTGTTCAGAAGTTCCATGGTGTGACATCCTTTGTCATTTTGCTGCAGCACAAGGTTGGATGGGAGGGGTTTTGTGACAGCTGTGTGGAAGCAGATCCCTTAGCTAAGTTAGGGCACCAACTCAGCTTGCCGGGCCTGTGTCTCGTGATTCCCCACAGCTATGCTGTCAGGTAGGTGTTACCACCTCCATGTGGTGGAGGCCGGGAACTGAGGCCAGGAAAGGTCAAGTAGCTTGCTCAGGGTCATTCGGGGAGTCGCCAGCCGAGCCGCCATTCAAGGGCTGACTGAAAGCTTCTGAGTCAGTTTTCTTGACTGTAGAATAGAGATGATAATCCCTGCCAGCTCACGGTCGCTCTGAGGGACAGCAGAGAATCAGATCAACGCAGTCAACTGCACACACAAACACGCACGCGCGTCACAAATACAATGTGTATTACTTTTTTGGCCTATAGTGACTTTTGTGCCTAATTAGTATTAGCCATTGAATTAAATTGAAAACCAGGAAGCTGAAAAATTAATCTCAAGGAAGAGAAAATAAGATGGGAAGAGAAAGTAAGATTTCTGGGAATGGTGAGAAAGTAAACATGGTTTTTGAAAATTGATTTCAGGAAAGATGGGACTCATTCGTGTTTGAATGCTAACAGGGTACCATCAAGGGCAGTGAGTTTTTCATTGATTTTAACTGTGTTGGAATTTCTTTCTTAAGGAGATGCTGTGAAGAGTTAGTTTCTGCTCTTACAAAGACTCATTTCATTCTTTAGATGTGTGTTCTGATCTGGCTTTTTTAATGTGGTGACTGAATTCTCAGATCCACACTGGGACGTCACGCCTGGGGCTTCACGCCTGGGGCAGCAGCAGCCTCTGTCTTCTGACCCTCATCGTCCCAGCTTCCATCCAGCTCACTTCACTCATCAAGAGAAAGTACAGATATGAACAGCTCACTCACTTCTGCGCTTTGGGGTTGTTTTTCACACGAGTGGTTTTTTTTTCATGACTGTTACTATTATGGAAAGGAAGGCAGCTCAGGCATTGTTTTGTATTCACTCATCTACACGAGTGGTTTTTTTTTTCATGACTGTTACTATTATGGAAAGGAAGGCAACTCAGGCATTGTTTTGTATTCACTCATCTATGTGGGTGACATTTGGGTTTTGGCTCATTTCTGCATATTTTGTGTGCAGAATAGGGTTTTTTAGTAAGCAATTCCATACTTAGCTGTTCTTGTAACTCTGAAAATCCAACTGAACTATCATTAAACTTTGACCTGGTGACTGAGAAAATGGGGTTGTGATGCTTCTGTTTTGTTTTATTCTCTCTTTGACCCATAGTTGTGAATCTAATCTAATAGAATTTTCAGAGAAAAATGATCTAAGTACTGAAATAAGTAAAAATAAACTCATATAAGCATTTTAAAAAAGAAGGTTTTGGCTTTTGAAAAATGAGTATCAGAGACCTACACTTGCTGTTACCTTTGGTTTATTTCCAAATGCTTCCTTTTTTTAATTTATTATATTATTTATTTAATTTATTTTTGGCTGCATTGGGTCTTGGTTGTGGCGCACGGGATCTTTGTTGTGGCGCATGGGCTCTTCATTGTGGTGCGTGGGCTTCTCTCTAGCTGTGGCGTGCGGGTTTTCTCTCTCTAGTTGTGGCGCATGGACTCCAGAGCGCGTGGGCTTCTGTAGTTTGCGTCACACAGCCTCCCTAGTTGAGCTGTGCCAGCTCAGTAGTTGAGGTGGGCGGGCTTAGTTGCCCCGTGGCTGTGGGACCTTATTTCCCCAACCAGGGATCAGACCCACATCCCCTGCATTGTAAGGCAGATTCTTTACCACTGGACCACCAGGGAAGTCCCTTAAATGCTTCTTAAATCCTCTCTTCCCAAGTAAAATTATTCCCTTCTCAGTGCAGAGAGTTTTCCTTGTTTATCACTGATAGTATCAGTCACAGAGCAGGTGCTTCGTGGACACCCGTCGACGTGGTCGTGTGTGTGTGTGTGTGTGTGTGTGTGTGTGTGTGTGTGATTTTTCTCATTTTCCGTGCCTGATGACTTTTCTGTGTGTCACAGGTGTTTGTGATGGACATCTCTAAACAGTTACAAGCTTATGAAGTTGAGTACCACGTGCTTCAGGAAGAACTTATCGATCCCTCTCCTCTCAGTGACAACCAAAGAATGGACAGATTAGAGAAAACCAACAGCAGCTTACGCAAACAGAACCTTGACCTCCTTGAACAACTGCAGGTAGGGCATATTTACAAGGTAGCCTCCCGAACCTTGAGTGTACGGTAGTTCATTAACTCACCAGAGGCACCGGCGGGCTGGGTTTTCCCATGGCCGCAGGCCCTTTCTCTTCTGGTTGTTTGTAGTTGGGATCAAAGGTAGCCCAGGAGAATTGTTCCTTTTTGTTAGGAAGCAGACATTATCCTTTGCTAAGGTCAGACTGTCCTGGAACTTTCTGAGAGGCTATTTCTGCACTTAACCCTTTCAGGAGACAGACCCAGAGCTGAACTTGGGTTCAGGGTGCCGTCGCACTATTAGCCGAATAGCCAGCGATTGCGCTTCGAGTCATGACGAGACAATCAAAGGCATGAGCTTTCAGGAGCGAAGCCAGCTGGGTCCTCGGAGTGATATCGAGTGAGGAAAGGGCCACAGGATCTCCCTAACAGAGTAAACCAGAGCCTGTGATCAGGATTTGTGAGTCCCTGGTGCCAATGCAAAAATTCAGTTCATGAAGGGACACAGTTCTCCCCTCTGGAAGCTTCCGTCTTACCATGGATAAATGCGGATGAGGACATACAGTAAGTAGAAAGGCAAACCCAGACGTGCGTGCAGGAGGGAGAGATAGAGCTAGCACAGAGGCGCAGTCCAGAGGCCCAGATCTTGCTAGGTCCAGTGTCACCCATACTGTCACCTGCTCTGCTCTGATTCCCTCATCTGTGCGACAGGGACAAAAAGATGCCTTTTTGTTGGGGTAGGGGGTAGCACTCCTCTAACAATCAGATAGAATAAACTAACCATACAGTCTGCTTTTTAAATGTCAATATGGGTGGTAAAGCTGTCATTGTTAACGAATTGTGTGTGGAGGGGGGGAAGGGGGTGTTTAAAAAAATTATTTTTGAGCTTGCTGTGGAGAAAACTTTATATTTTTTCCAAAATATGTATTCTGTGGTATTCCTGGTCTGTCCTGAGAATAAGCTTTCCATCCTGATCTAAGCCTCTTAGTTTTCTCTATAGAAAGTTGCTGCTTTGCAGACACAAGCTTGGCAGTGATGGGAGAAAGGCCAGCATTTGGAGCTTAATAAATCAACCCCTGTCTAAAATGTATTCCCCCCAGCAGGGATTTTTACCCCAGTAGAAACCTAGTAGATATTTGCTGTAGAGGAACAAAGAAAAGTCTATCCTTACCCAGGCCTACCAGTCACATTCCGAAAGTTAGCTCTTTTTTCCTCTAAGATTGAGCTGTCCTAACTTGAAAGTATGCCTGAGTACGATTTCTGCAGGGTGTCTTAGCTGTAACCTGAAGGGGAGGTGCCGGGGAACGGAGAGCCTTATCTTGCATGTAAGGGTCTGCAGTGTAGGTGGTAATTTTAAATGCCTTCCAAACAAACAGTAGGTCCCTGAAGTACGGCAGGATGGAAACATTTCTAACAAAGCCCAGATTTGAAGTTGAAGCATGTGTCTCGTTAGGATACTGCTCAAATAAAAGGTTCATTTTATTAGGCTGATGCCATGTGGGTTTTTTGTGATGAAGAGGGGAAGTAATTTTGCGCTGCTCCTGTGATACTGTACCCCTTTTGTGAAGAGAGGGAGTTGTGAAAAGCTGCTCAGACATCTCCGTCCTCAAGAAACGCATCAAGAGGTAATTGGTAACAACAGATGTCCTCCTTGGAATGATCTTTCTCTTGACCGCGTGGCTCTGTGCTTCTGGACGTATCATTCAAGACTAGAGCTTATGCCGGTTCCAGCTGTGCTGGGTGCCAGAGGCCACCAACATTTGTAAGACACTGCAGCTCTCAAAGAGTTGGGCTAGGGATTGTGGTGTGTCCGTTTGTGGGTGCCTGCATGTAGTTCTCTCATTACCCTCTGAGTCACGTGGAGTTACTTTCAGCCAGACCACATGAGTTCTGTGAGACTCACACCTCTTTTCCCTTTTTTCTTTTTTTTTAAAATAGTTTTCAGAGTCCAGGGATAGCTGTTCAATGCAATACTTAATTTTCCAACATAAATCTTTGCTTTTTTGCCCAAGTATCAAAATTGACCTGTTTCCTGGCTTTGTTCCATTCATACAGTTGTTGGACATACCAAAGCCCCATCTATTTTCTTGTTAAACACTTAAGAATGTCATCTAGCCGCTGGAGACTAAACTGTCTTAGCTCTTCTGTCCAGCAGCGTACTTACGACGATTGCTTAGACATGTCTGTTGCCAAATGCTAAGGGACGTGCATTTTTTGGAATAATCCACCACCAGTCATTGAGTGCCCGTGAGCCGGGTGCTTTGGGAGGCCAGACCCACATGCAGGGTGAGGTGTGTTTTCTTCTGTGAGACAGCTTCAGTCTTACCGAGGAGGAGACCTGACGTTCGTGCTGGCCAGTAAATGACCACGCACATCAGCTCACTGCTAAGCTGAGAGGTGCCCCTGGGAGTGCTGTGGCCTTCAGAAGGAGTGGTCCCTGGAGGGGATGAGGTGGGACCCGTCCCAGGCCTTGACCGTGGGGAGGAGTGTGAGGGTCGGAGAGGACTGCTTGGACATACCCACTCAGTGTGACCGCCCCCTGCCCGGTAAGCCGGCAAACTTAGGATCTCAGTCCTTTCTTCTTTCTGTTTAGAGTGTTCCAGTGTCACAGCCAGACCTAGGCTTTGAGTCATAGAATTGTCTGTCTCGCACAAGTGTTGTCTTGTTCAAGAAGCTGTTTCCCTTGTTTTGAAAACGAGGGAAAAAATATGTACTGTTGTTCCCACCTAAAACCTATGGGGACACGTAGACGGCCGGTCAGATGAGCGAGCCAGTGCAGTGCCTTACTGACCCCGGGCCCGAGCACTCGAGAGTGCAGCGGAGAGCTGGAATCGGCCAGGAGGCCCGGGGACAGCAACGTAGGAGGCTGCTTTTCTCAGGAAACTCCTCCACTTCACTGGGGCCAACTCACTGGTTGCCTGGGAAGCCAGCCCGAGGGGACTAGAGAGAAGAGGAGGGTCCGTTGCAAGAGAGAAGCACCTGGAAGGTCGGCCTGACACTGATTGTGTGCTGAGGATGCGGACGGGTGGGAGTGGGGACACTGCTGGCGTCTGTGGCCAGTGAGGCCACGCACGTGACCCTCTTAGCAGAGCTCGGCCACCCTGAGCGCTCCACACACGTTCCCGGGGAAATGCCCGTCCTTGTTACTGTAGGGAATATTAAAGGTTCAGAGTAGAGAGCTGTTACTACGTGGGCCTTCACATAGAAACCATTTTGATGGTCTGTCTGAAATCAGTTTGTACCTGTACATATGTGTATTTGTCAAAGTGAGCCGGACCGTGCTGCAGTGACAACGCTCCGGACCCCAGCAGCACCGCAGACCCTCCGCCTTGTCTCCGCGAAGCGTTCTCGGGCCGTTTCACAGCTGTCCTCCTGTAGCGGGTGACTCGGGAATCGGGCTCCCTCTGCACTGGGAAGCCGCCATCTCCACAGGCGGCTTCCAGAGTAGCCACGACAGGGGAAGAGGGTGCTGGAGGATCTCGGGGCGGCCCAGCCCACCTGCGAGGAGTCTTCCGTTGTGGCCAGAACTGAGAGTAAACGTGGAGAGATGCGTCTCTGCCAGAACAGGGCTCCAGAGTGCCTTCGAGAATGGACAGTGGAGTGCAGAGTGGATCTCCCATGTTCTCCCCGGGCAGTTCCATTCTCATTTCTTTTATTCTCTAGGTGGCTAATGGGAGGATCCAGAGCCTGGAAGCCACCATTGAGAAGCTCCTGACCAGTGAAAGCAAGCTGAAGCAAGCGACCCTGGCCTTGGAGCTGGAGAGGTCAGCCCTGCTGCAGACGGTGGAGCGGCTCCAGGGGCAGACGGCAGAGCTGGGCGGCCCAGAGCCTGACCCCGTACCACCCGAGCCTGCGGGCCACTGACGGCCGGAGCCCAGCCCCCGCCAGAGCGCAGCTCCAGAACCGGGTCACCACCGCCCTGACACTGTCCAGGCCTTAACTGAGAGAGATGAAGATGCCGGAGGGAGAACGGAGCGTGAAGCATGCTTCTCAGGGAGGAGACTGGCTTGCCAGCGCGCGGATTCTTCTGAACTAAGATTCGCAGTGCAGGGGGCGAACGTCCTGGTGGTGTTGTCGTTGTTTAGGTTCTAATACGTCCCCTCTCCGGTCCCGGTTACTGTACTCAGTAGATTTAGATGGCATGGACTTGAAATAAAGCACTTTTGTGTTTCTTTATCGTTTCCTTCTTCAGTATCACTGTGTCTGTAAAGGGCATTCATAATACTGTGGGATTTCAGAAGCCGGCGAGGCTGGAGGTGATGATTCCTCTGGCCAACATGTGGCCCTTCGTTCTTCCAAGGAGGGTTTGTGTGACTTACACCTTCAGTGTCACCAGCAGGGGTGCGGTTGGCCCGTGACCATTCTTGTTGTGGAAGCCCCGATTACCACTGGGAAAAATCGGAAGCGATTTATTTAAACTTGACATCTTATATTTGATCACTGTGCTTGGTATTTAATGAAGTTTGTCTTTTAAGAAGAATAGTTTTCATATACTTTTTGCTTAGCCCTTAAGTATTGATCACAGTCATTGTAGATCATGATTTTATGGGAAAATCACCAATTTTTAGACTCTGCCAGGTATTGCTAGCGTGCGACCTGCAGTTGTAGAGTCTGAGAGGTTTACTTTGTTGTGGTGTTTCATATCCATATTTCAGAATCGTGTATTCATTTTTGCTGTCGTGTGATGTAATGCAGCCGTGTGTCCCTTTGAGTCTCCACCCCTTGGGAATCGGATTCCTTGCGGAAGTCGCCCTGCATGTCAGGACTTCCAGGGGTCCCAGACATTCTGGGGCTTTCAAAGTCTTCAGACTTTCGGCCTGAAATTGCATCAACTGTACGGCAGCTGAGAGCAGTTTTTGTGGTGGGATGTGTGTTTTGAATGTAACTCACAACCCAGCGACCCCCTCCCTCAGGATGATGAGGACCCGGTGCCTTCAGCCAGCAAAAGGCTGCTCTCAGTGGCCCTGGTGTCATCTGGTCGCCATGTGAGGCTCTTCCCCATGATCTCCTGGAGCGGGTGGTGGGTTAGAGAGGAGCCGTGGAGGCAAGTTCACTTCCAGGACAGCAGAAGCATTTCTTTACTGTATCTTCGTAACTACTTCTATTCCACAGGAGTTTTTCGACACACCCTCCGTGGTGGGCGTCTCTTTCAAGCCTGAGGGGTGAGGAAGGGCTTTCATATCTGGAATCTTTCTAGATCTCCCAAGACATTTCCAAGGGAGGCACACGTGCTGCCGCTGGTGCCTAAACAGTTGGTTGACAGTGGGGACTCTTTGCTGTTCCCCATGTCATAAACCATGATGACAAGCCCAGTAGCCTTTATCCTGTGTTGTTCCACCAGCTACAACTTAAAGGAGTTAACATTTGAGGGCTTCTTTCCATATACTTTACTGTTTAAATGTTCAATAATGTTCAATTTGGCATCTTATTACCATTACTCAAAAATATCGACTCTGCATTAAATAAAAAGCAATAAAACAGATAATTCATGCCCGCACTTTTACGGTGTTCTTTTTCTTTTTTTTAAACGTTGGGTTTCTGCTTTTCAGCCCAGGAGTGAAGGACTGCCCGGTGAACGCCTGTGGGTCAGAGTATGAATGTTGCCTAACCAGCAGTGAGATCTCTGAGGGATTGGCGTCTTGCATACCCAGTATTGCTACCCAAGTGCAACACCTCTGCGCGGGTGTGCGTAGTAGGGCTGCTGAGACCAGCCACATCCGTGGTGTGTGCCAGTGGGTACTGTTGTGAGTTCGCGCTGGGCGGAGAGGACGGGGGACACAGGCCTGTGATTACAGGTTGGACAGTCCGCCTGTGCCTCAGCTGGCTGGGGACAGAGTCTCAGTTCACATCACTGCCTGAGGATTTGCAGAGGCAAGGTTTTAAACTAAGAAAGTTTCCTATTATGTTTTCCTCCCAGCACACAACCGTATGCACACGTGTGTGTGCACTTCGAGGTTGTCTGTCTTTTGGTACAATTTATACCCTCTTAGACAAAGACATTGAGCCCCTGGGAAGCACACTGTGACACAGAACACATAGAAAAACAGCTTCTATGCAGAACATTCGGTTTGGGGCCCTCTGAGGAGTTACACATAGATAGAACAACAGTGTCCATTTGGGGATATGTGTTTGTTTTGGTTGGGGAATCTGGGGAGAAGAGTTGCTCTGAGGGCTATGGGATGCAGGAGCTGTTTCAGGAATGAGAGCAGACACCACTGTGTGAGGAGCTGCAGAGGGGAGGGTGCAGGAGGAGGTGTGCAGACCAAGAGGAGTCCCCAGGGGGCCCATCTGAGCGGCGGAACACACACAGATGCTGACGCGGGCCGGGGTGGGGGGCACGCGGGGCCCTAGGCAGCTGCAGCCGCCATGTAGTAACCATCTCCACGTCGACGGCCGGTGTCTGGTGGTGGGCCTGGAACCACCCTAGGTCATGCCTCAAAGTCAGAACTTGGGAAGAAGAACTTGGAGGTAGAGCGGAGGAGAATGAGGATGAGCTGGGACCTTTAGCACCTCGTGTGTATCTGTCGCCACACCTGACTATGATGACCCTCAGAGAAGAGTGGCCCTTGCATCACTTTACCTTCCAAAAAATCACACAGGCATGTCTTCGAGCCGATTCTCATTTAGAACCACTGGGGAAGGGGACGCAAGGAAAGGTAGTGCTGACTTAACCAAGCTGACGGAAGACAAACCACCATAATTTTGGAACCTGCCTAACCCGAATGATATGTGAGTTATTTGACAGGGCCCTTCCAGCTAAGTATATATGATGAGTGATCCGCAGGGCTCGGGTTCATAGATTGGTTTTGACTTTGTCACTGATGGTGCAACGCTGAAGACTAAAAACTGCAGCAGCCCCAGCTGACACCCGGGACCACCCCCAACCCTTCACCTGCTTCTCTCTGTCAAAGTGTTACCAAACAGGCTACAAATTAAGATCCAGAATCTTTCCGTGTGGGAAGATAATTTACGGGCCACATTGTCTTAAACTGAAACTGCTTTAAGGGCTTGGAACAGCTCCAGATTATCTTGGGTTGGAGGGAACCTGCTATTTCAAACTGGAAAACTACCTTCCACCTCATCTTACAGAGGGAAGAACTGAGGAGAAGAGAGGTTCAGAAACCACCTAATGGTTGCCTGCAGGGTCAGGGTGGGGCCTCAGCCTCCCGACTGCCAAGTAGTGGACACCACCCGGCTTTCGTTCCAGTGAGTTTTGGGAATCATTTCTGACGGCATTAAGGTTCAAGGCCAGGAAAGTTCTGCTTCACTTTCCAGGAAGGTGATCTGTATAGTAAGAAGCCCAGCTCAGCTTCTCTCCTGAGATGTAGGGTCTGCAGGGGCCCTAATCTGTCATGAGTTAGAACCAGGGCAGAGGAATGCTACTGCCACAGGGTCTGAATTGACTGGGGACAGTTTTGCTCTTGACAGTCATTTCTTTTTTTACTTTTAGACGTCTGAAAACCCTTGCATTGTCATGCTAAAAAAAATCAACACAATTAATTGCCTTTGGTTTTGTAGAAGTGAAACTTTCCACTATGTAAAGTTTTTTTGTTGCCGTCTTTAGAAATGATCAGAAGGGTTAGGGAGAGGTAAGCGCTAGGATATATAGAGCAGCCAACAGCAGTCATTATTTGAAATCGATAACGAAAGATGAAAAAAGAATGTTCTGAGAACCTAGGCTTCATAGATAACTGCCTTCGTATCTCTAAAGTGAATAATCAACTGTTTCGGTTGTAAACCCTTATTAGCAAAGCTTTTGAATTTATACCACTATGTGTGTAGTTATTTAAAAATTTCACTAAATTTTATCATAAGATAGAAGTTTTAAATGAGGTGAAGCAAAATAGTTTAAAACTACTGATGATTAAAAAGTTTGATATCCAGTGTTTCTGAGGAGAACAATAGACACTTCGTTTTAAATATTGTTTTAAGACTGTGGTACAGTAATTCAGATGTGAATTTCCAAGTTCAGCCGAGTATGATGGTTAGTTTGAATACACTGCCAATGGCTGAAAACAGGATGGCTTCCAACCCCTAAATGCAGAAAGGGCACTTCTGGTCACATTGAAGCATGCTGGTCTTTCATTCACATGTATTCACCAGTGGTGCAAAGGTTTTTGTTGAAATCTGGCTAGTAAATTTCCATCTTCTCTAAGGGCAGACTAATGTCAGCTAATCAAAATGTGTTAAGAGTTTTATACTTTAAATCAAGGACTTTAAAGCAAACTCTTCATTTGGAAAGCTTTGAACAAGTTATAAAAGCATTTCCAAGATCGTTTGAGTAGCACGTTCACATAGTTTTTGGCTAAGAGATGACCTAAACAGTAGCAACGCTTCAAACATCCTTTTCTGAAAAAGCCCTCTCCATCACACATCCTCAGTAGTCTTTCCTTGGGCTCCCTCCTCGGAGCCCTGTGCTCTCCGTCACGGGGAGGAGGAGGGTGGAGGAGACGCTGCTGTGGGAGTCTTCCTTCTCCCTGTGGCTGCCCGCTCACCTGCCCCTGTGCCCGCTGTGCCCCTTTCCTGCTGTCCTCCAGGAGCTTGCAGAGTGCTGGGCTGAGCAGAGAAGAGGGGAGCTGCGCAGTATGCGTGGTACAAATAGCCCCTGTGAGCCATGCACTCGCTGACTGCAGGGCCGCCCCTCAGAACCACTGGCTTAGCCTGAACAGCCTGACAAGGGGACGGGGAGACAGCTGTGTCTTGTTCTTTCTCGCAGTCAGATTCATCCGCTTTTCCTCACTCTCCTGGCTACATCTTCCTGCCGTTGTTTTTGTCTTATTCCGTATTTGGATCTGTTTTGGTTGTCTTCTTCCTGCTCTTCTAGACGGCACTTCTTTCTAAACCTCTGTGTTCCTCATTTCTTCCAACTGCGGGAAAAGCTGATGCTGGCCACCGTTAAACTATGGCTTTGGTTCTTAGCCCCTGCAGGGTGACATCCTGCGGTACCATCTCGGGGAATCTGGGCAGAGTGTAAAGCAGCACGTGAGGGACGTAGAGGCAGGTGTGTTTGGTGGTGGGATGAGGGGGGACCAATATACGTAATGATGTTCTGCCCACTTCAGCTCTTCCTGTACTTTCCACCAAGGATTTCATGATCCATTTTCCTTCCTTTGCAGTACATGGTAATCAGCTTTGCTTGTGAATTTCATATGCTCTAATCATCTATTCATCTTGGTTATTAGAAAGGATAAAATGAGTTTTTTCACTCAGGATCCCTCTTTTTTCCCCCATATGCTTCTGTGATCACTCCTAATACTGGGACAGCCCCGTTGTCTTCTCATGATGTAGAATTGGACCCACCTGCCCCTCAGAGCTCAACTGCACAGTCACTGATGTGCACCTGCTTGACGGTTTTCACTCTTTCCAGCAGGTGGTTATGGTGCCCCTACTACGAACCAAGCCCTGATCTGGGTCCTGAGACCACAAGGTAAATGCCTGCGGTCCTTTCGTCTAGCAGGGTTGATAGGTAATGGAAATAAGTAAACAAAAATCCGTCATGGGGTGGGAGCTGCCTGCACAGAGTGGTCAGAGAAGGCTCAGCTGAGGAACCGGTGCTCAAGGTGGGATCCAAAGGATAAGGAAAGGAACCAGCTGGGCTTCCCTGGTGGCGCAGTGGTTGAGAGTCCACTTGCCAATGTAGGGAACACGGGTTCGTGCCCCGGTCCGGGAAGATCCCACATGCCGCGGAGCGGCTGGGCCCGTGAGCCATGGCTGCTGAGCCTGCGCGTTCGGAGCCTGTGCTCCGCAACGTAAGAGGCCACAACAGTGAGAGGCCCGCGTACCGCAAAAAAAAAAAAAAAAGGAAAAGGAACCAGCTAAGGAGGAGATGGGTGGTTTAATGTTAGAAGATAGCAG